CCCACTCGTCACTTCCCATAGGATACCACTCGGGCAATGGCTTGCATTGAGCGTGATGTCATTTGACGACCTTCGTAGTGGTGCATGCCCGATCACTTTCCATTTTCTCCTACATATTTGTTGAGCCATCGGCTCTTGTCTGGCTTTTTCCACTGCAGAGTCTCTTGTTGCTTATTCTTTCTGACCAGCCAATCGTTTGTTCTTCATTATGGAGCCAGCGAAGGCAGATGTTGATGAAAGCCTGCAACAGGCTGCTGGAAATCCTTTTCGTGACTCACGCTCAATGCACGTTTCTGACAATTAGAGAAGCAGTAACCGACTTCACATTTGTGTCGAAAATGCGAATCTTGTTCTTTATGCTGAGTGCGGAAGATTTCCAAACTCGTTTCAGGTTGATGAAGGTGTATCTGTCTGTTTTCGATATAGAACTTTGCACATATGTGCGGCAGTTCACGTCGCCACACTCCATGTACCACACAAAGGAAGAGAAGAAAGTAGGAGAAATGCATAATATAGACAGTAAACAGAGGTGTGAGACAGGAATAGTAATAACGGAGAACAAAACAGTTTCATCGGGAATCATAAGTCACAAGGAGTGGATGCATCTGCGTTAGCCATTGAGAACGATTTTGAGCCATGTCACCAATTGTTTCCAACCATTGGCTTTTACCGTCCCGAGGACCCCAACCAGGAAGTCTACATCTCCCTACGTGACTTAGACTAACCGTTGTGGATTTCATTGACTGGTGCCATGTTTTCGTTTGACCGCCGCTAGCTCTTTTCCAGCCTGGCCCTATATCAGTTAACATTGCCCATTGTCGAGGAAGGCGATGACTAGGTGCATCTTGCACTTCCGATTCTCGCCGGCTGGCTTCGACATCTTCATCTATTCAGCCCACCTGTAGTTGAAACGATGCTACCTAGCCAGATAAGTGAAGTAAGTGACATCTTCCAAATTTCTCCCGTTGATAGTGATTGGTGCTGGTTGTTTGCGTTGTTATTGGCACGTGGGTATCTTCATCGCTTTCGTCTTCCCTATGTTCACCTAGAGTCCTGTCTTCACTGTCTCTTCAGTCACTTTGTTGCTTTTCGCCTGTCTGCAAGTCTTCGAGTTTGTGTGACACCAGACATATATCATCTGCGAAATCCAGTTCTTCTGGAGTTTTCTTATCGGTGGTCCAGCGTACTCCTGTCTCCTCGCTCCCCACACTTTCCAGTCCACCACAATTAAGAATATCATCGATGATAATAGGCAGCCCTGTCTTACTCCTGTATGTACTTCGAACGCCTCGCTGAGTTTTCCGTTGTGGATCACCTGATTGACATGTGGCAGGTACTGTCATATAACCAGCCGTTGAATGAGGTTGATAAAGGCTTGGAGTACGCTGTAGCGTTGAAGTAGTTTCCAAATTATTTCTCAGTCTAAGGCCATTTCGGAGTCGATGAAGTTGAGGTAGGGACAGGTTTGACTACCATTCTATGCTTTGTTCTGTGATGACGATACGTAGATTTGCAGTTTGATGAGCGCATGACTCGCCTTTCCTGAATCCAGCTTGTTCTGGTTGGCGGAGTTCTGTATCCATGAATATTAGATTGCAAATAGCCAGCCAACAAAAGTAAGTGTGAAAATTATATCAGAAACTGTCTGTATTGGGGTACTCGTGTAATATGGAATGATAGTTCATTATTTTATATTGTCAAATGAACGTTTATATATAAAATGTGCAGTCATTCAGAACATAAGATACAGGGTGAATAGACAAATAGGTGACATACTAATGTATCTTATATTTCAGGTTAAACCACGGATTGATATCAGTTAGAGAACCATTGGAAACCAGTCAGGGAATACTGGACAGCTGTTTCATCCTAGTTTGGGGTTGATCTTGAAAATTAATCTTCTGCTCGCTAGTGACTGGCTACAGAACGAAGTTGCCAGGAGTTCTAGTGAGAAGTCATCACCAGTGGGGTCCATGCAGTCGCGAGGATGGATGGAGTTCCCGCCGATGACATTGGTTGGTGCCAATCGCGCTAAAATCACGAATTGGTGGAAGCTAGAATCTATGGGCCACTGAATCGGGTCCCAATGGCTTAATGATCTACGAGCTCACCTCGTAACTGGAAGGTCCTTGGTCCGAAGCCGTACGAAACAGCTGTCCAGTACTACCCTACAGGTTTCCTAATGGTTCGCTAACTTATATCGATCCGTCGTCTAACCTGAAGCAAATAAAATCCCTACACACTATTCTTGAAAATGTATTTATAGTCAAGTTTCATTGGGAGAGTGGAGGTTAGTTATGTTCATTGGTGTCCAAGGACGATGATTACCACGCATTACATTCAAACAAATATCAACAAATGGGGAAGAGTGAATGCAAGTTCAAGGAACGGCTGACAGATATCAAGTGTGTGTAGTGATAAAATAAAGAGGTTAAATTGTGAACTGTAATAAAATACTAGAGACATAATAAGCTTAGTGTAAATTACAAAGGTTGACGAATAATAAGGTTAATAATGGAGTAAAGTGACCTAGGTGAAAAGGAATAAGAAAGGCATATTATGACATGAAAATATGGGTGATTATGTCCCTGCTGACCTTATAGTAGGCCAGGGTAAACAAAGAGGATGAATGTGCTGGTTTTGCACACACACATGGGTCAGGTTTCTTCTTATTAATCTCTATAGCTTCAGGTATATCTAGGAGACGTAATCGCGTGCCTTTGGGCAGATTGTTCGGTACTCACTCGATATACAACCGTAAATGACTCATCTATTTTGATGTGGTGTTCACCATCTACTAGATGAGATAAAATGACACTGTTTATTGATTTGGTTACACTTTCACCAAGCCAAACAGGAGCATCTTCACATGTGCGTAAAGATAAATTCCTCTAAGTTTGGCGTATGTATGACTAGCTTCACATGAACTCTTGAATTCCTTTACACACACATTGATGTGGCCATCTTTGGTGCTCTGTGTCAGTAGCACTCTAGTTGACAAACTGATGTGTAGTTCTGCAGCCCTGAAAATTCTTTCGGTTGATCTAATCAACCGACGGCTTAATATATGACCTTTGAACTGTACTCTTAAATAAAGCTTTTTCTTATTCACCGTGTCACGCTAAGTTTCAGCAGTTCTTTTGGAAATATACTTTTTTACAAAATTGGTAGGATAACCACTTTGTTGCAGGATATTTTTAAGACTTTCGATTTCATCTTCATTACAATCTTCAGTACAACATATACGCCTAATTCTATGACTAAAACAACGAATCAAAGTATGCGACAAACAACTAGTGTTCGTTAATAATATCCATGAATTCGGTACTAACGTTTATGCTTCTTTTTTGATTATAGCTTGATTCCACACCGTATTCTTGGTACAAGTATGGAATTTTCAGCATGTGATATCGGTAGCTCAAATTTAACAGGCCAACCATTGATATCAGGTGCGCGTCGGCAAGGGATCGAACCCCGGACCATATTATGCATGGCCGGCGAGAGTTATAACCTCTGTGCCACCGACGCACGATAAAACAACTCATTACATAGCTTCTCTGTATATGCTGTGAATGTCACACTGCATATCAAAATATTGTTTGAAATAACGAGATTATCACCATGGTAATTTTTATCGAAATCTAGATGCTGACATCAGTTAGAGAACCATTGAAAAACCAGCACTGGAGTACTGGACAGCTGTTTCGTCCTAGTTTGGTAGTTACCTGGATTCTAGTAGGTACAGCAAGTCAGGTGTGAGGAGAAATACTCACTAGTGATGACATCGGCTAGTGGCAGTCACACTATATCGTGAATTAGCAGAAGTTGGAATTCATAGGCTAGCCATCGAAGAGCCGGGTCCCGGTAGATTAATGGTCTACGAGCAAGCTCGCCTTGTAACTAGAAGGTCCTGGGTTCGAACCCCAGTGGTGTGGTTGTGTACTGATGAAGAGTCCCAAACTGGGCTGACGAAACAGCTGGTATTTCCAATAGTTTTCCAACTGATGTCAGGTCATGATGAAATCTTGTAACCAATCAAATCCTTGCAAAACCAACAATTGAAAATCCAAATGTATTCAAACTGAATAAAGGACAGCATTTATCAGAGTCCTTTGCACTGGTGTCGTCGTGTCTGACAAACTTCACATTTATAGAAGCTGAATACACGCCAAGTAGATGACTTGTTCATTATTTATAAATACTGAATGACCAGTGGTCATAGCATAGTATTTTCAGCGGAGAAAACTATAAAAATAATAATTCTTCCTTTGTACTGTAACAGTAGTAGATTATGATGATATTAGATAGTTGGAGGCAATCGGCCACAGGAAGCCTTGGACCTAGGTTTCGTGCAAGTTGGCACTCACCAGTCAGTTAGCAGGGCATATCTGCAGCCTTGAAGGAACTCACGTCCCTTATGAGATTCGAACCCGCGTCACCCAGTGCTGCAGTCACGCAGGTTCGAATCTCACAAGGGACATGAGTTCCTTCAAGGTTGCAGATACGCCTTGCTAATTGTAGAGTGCCAACTTGCACGAAACCTAGGTCCAAGGCTTCCTGTGGCCGATTGCCTCCAACTATCTAATATCATCAAATCAATGTGCATCGTGATGGCGAGCTACCTAGAATGGTGGCCACATTGCAAACTTGACTGACTGATAAAATTCAGTCTGCACCAAAGAAAGGACTAGACACGTCACACTAGTTACTAGTGTCCGATCAAAGTAGTAGATTATATTTTGCCGTGCCAGCGGTAATATATAGCAGTTCTCACATTCACTAATAATATCTTACTGTTAAAATGCATCAGACACCTACTTAGCCTAACACTTACAAAAGAAAAGAATTCTCTGCAGTAACCAGTCATCAGTGGAAAGGTGAGTTTGCAGAACAGAAAAAAAAACAGACCTAAGTATACACCGCCATCGGCTTAACAATAAGCTTGTGGTGTATTGCACTAACATGATTCTGCAGGTAGTAATATTGAATATGGCAGAAGGATGGATTCAGTTGAGACGATGAAAAATGTAAGATCCTTGTGTGCAACGATATATAGAAAGTTATATGTGTCCAAACCAAGTTCACTTTTAACAGTTTGAAAAAAATTTAGGCATTGGGTATATGATATTCATTATAATAAAGGTTTTCTTGTATTTCCCAATGAATGAAAAACAAAACGATATTGTTCTGTTTACTGATGTTTCGCTATTTAATGCTGCTCTAATAGCTTTATCAGAGTATTATTAAACTACAATTTACAAAATCCACTCAGCCTATATATAACAAACTTAATCATCGTTCCTCAGCTTGAGGTCATTTTCGCGTTGTCAAAAAGACCAAATCTGTAAGGATTCTCAATCTAATTGTGTCTATAAAATAAAATGCTTGGAATGTGATGCAATGTACATCGGACAAACATTGCCAGACAGAAATCAAAATTAGAAGAAATGAACACTATAGAGCATCTGTTCGATCACTGAGAAATCCAGTTAAACCAAAAACGCTTGAAAAGTCATCAGCCATAGGTCTTCTATACGTCATACAATCAGGACACAAAATTGATTTTCACAATACTGAAATCATTCACGTAAATTTCAGAAATCACAAAGAATGTCTCACATCATCAAAAGCACTTCATATCGAATGGAATCCAAGTTCTCTGAAGGATAGGAATGATGGACTAAAACAGAATTTGACCTGGCTACAACACCCCATTCCCTACCCCATGAAGCGACAAAATCAACACGAATGTGATAATCAAGTTCATTATGTAAACACATACTGCTTTTACAATTTTACACACTTATCAAATCCAACAGTATCTACACCTGGTTTTGTTATCTTTACTAATCGGCCAACTTGAGAACAACGCGAAAATGACGCCATGCTGAGGAACGATGATTAAGTTTGTTATATGTAAGCTGAGTGGATTTTGTAAATTCTGGTTTAATAATACTACTACTTTGATGAAGCTATTAACGGCATTAAATAGCGAAACGTCAGTAAAAACAATATTCGTTTTGTTTTTCATTCATTGGGAAATACAAAGAAAAACCTTTATTATAATATATAGAAAGCATGAAAGGCAAAAGAAACAGAGTACAAAGAACACGCCCAAATGAGGATTTCAATGTATAAGGTTTCTGTATCTGGCCACAACTGGACATCATTCTGTTGGGGGAGAACAATTCCGCCGTACTCTGGTCATTCATTACAAACTAACACACATGTATTGCGTTTTCTGATTACAAGATGACACACTACAGGTGTCAGTCCCCCGTCTTCACTAAAGCAGAATAACTCCTGTCACATTCAGTGA